TTGATTTTCTACAACTTTTGCTACTGCTCTGCATTTTTCAGCTTCTCCCTGCTCACCCAACCCCCAGCGTCTAGTTGTCTGCCTTTCTTTTCTTCTTGTTATCCTTCTCTGCCACGGAGATCTGGCTGACCCCCGCCAGGGACTATCCGAATGCCACTTTCAGAGCAGGCTGACACTGTTCTTGAGGTGCTCCATTCTTGTCATGTCCGTAAGCACTAATGAGGTGCTCCATTCTCGTCGCGTCCGTAAGCACTAACCACTGGCTGTTGACCCTCCCGCAGCAGCGTTTATGGGAGCCATTTGTCTGATTTATCTGTGAAAAGTCTAGCTCCCCACTAGCAGGGGAGCTTCTCAGAGACCGGCTTTCTCTCAGCCCCCTTATTTCCTAGCGCAGTGTGCACAATGTGGTGATCCACGTGTGGCCTCTATTTGCTCTTAGGGTATTCTTTTCTTATCCTTTGCTGTTTGATAGTTGAATTCCTGACATCTTTGGGATCTTAATTAACAATTAGTTTTCTTTACCTTTGAAATGTATTCTGAATGAAATTTCCCTTTATGTCTGGATTAGTTCCACTGTTTAAAGTGTGTTCTTGCTCTTTGCAGTCTGAAGCTCTTGCAGTAGAGGACATACTAATTTCTGTGTAGAAACAACCACCTAATATGAATAAAATTAGGTTTCGTATATACATGTAGGTTATTCTAGTTTTAGTCTGATTCTTATCCCAAATACAACTCTTCCCCTCATATAACTTAGTTATATATATGTACTGTATTAAGGTTTTTTTCCCTACAGCTTTATTGAAGAGTTTATATGCTTTTTGAATTTCTGTCTCCCCTAAAGAGATTTGGTCAGTGGTGTTTTGCTCGGCATCCTTTGCCTGTGTGACAAAGCAAACAGGTGCCCAAAAGGTTGCGCTCTATTCTGGGAGAAATCTGATTAATGTTGAAGGGCTGTGTCAGGTCAGACTCAACCTGCTGACAGATTATTTAGTGAGTGTGAGGATCGAGGATCAACTCTAAACGTTATCTTAGATTTTAATGGTTTTCTTGTGAAGGGCATTTGCAGATGAAACCAATTTGTAGTTAAAGTTAATTGAAGTTGTACCAGAGACTAGTTAAGAAGAAATTCTTCCCTGAAGCAGGCAGTAGTTTGAAAAGAATGAATGATTCATCAGATAGTGTTGCAAGGCTTATAGTTATATTCTGTATTTTAACATAAATTGTTGTGTTTTAAATTGTGGTGAAATCTTACTCCTAGTAAAATAAGAATTTCTCCAAAGAAGTTCCTATTTAAATGATCTTAAATTCTCTTAATATAAAAAGTTTCCCAAATCTCCTCACAACTCCTTGAAAAACAGTGAAATGTGCTGTTCCTTGTAAGATAAATTCCTAGTTAGCCCAGCTGCTTCTCTTTCCCTCACCCTCACCCCTCAATCCACGTGTTCTGTTTCATGGATCCCAAATGTCTGCACACCTCTAACTACACTGCCAGCAGATTGTGAGTGGACTATGAAAGTGGACTATGAAATGGATCTCTTAATCTCCTCCTTCCACTCTCGCTCTCCACACAGCAGGCAAAAGGGTCTTTTTTCTTCATAAACTTGTTATCGTTATTATTTAAATGTTGTGTTATGGAAAATTTCAAATATATATCAAAGTAGAGAGATTGGTGTACTTCTTATTCAGCTTCTATTCATGGCCAGTCTTGTTTCATCTGTGCTTCTGTCACTCCTGCTTCAACCCCTTAAATATTTTGAAACCAATCCCAGGCTTTTTATTACTTTAATTAGCTAGTTTGGAATTGCCCCATCGTGAAATTTGGCTTATTGGTTGGTCACATAGGTGGGGAAAGTTGCTGTCCCAATGGTAATAAACTATTTGTCGCCTTCTTTATGTCTTCCAATTCTGTTTCCTCTTACTTTTTCACAGTGTGTTGCCTTTCTTTTTGACAACTGCCATCCCCAGAGAAATAGTTTCATGTGTCCAATTCATGTTAAGCCCTTTTTTCAGGGATGTGTATATAGGCACTCTGCTACTTTTGTACCAAATACATTCTTAAAGTTGAATGTACAAATAAATGTGTATATGGGAAGGATGTTTCATGCTCAGAAAGTTTTAAAAATTATAAAATCCCTGTTTTAAAAAATCGTGATACATGCTCATGATAAAAAATAAAATTAAAACAATACAGAATAGTATGAAGTAAAAGGCAAAAATTCCCATTTTGTTCATGGATCATTTTCAGTTTCTTATTTCTAAAGCAACCATTGCTAGTATTTCTTATGGATCCTTCCAGAAAGACCATTTAAAGCCTTAATAATGTATATTTTTGACATTTTCTCTCAGTGTCTTTGAATTTAGTAGATAGAAATTAGTTTTAGTGTTGGAAAGAATAGCTTGGTGTTTTGCAAGAGTTTGAGTAGAAGATTGTATGATGGCTTTGATATTTTATTGACTTTCTTAAACACTAATTTTCTCTTGATAAAGGAGCTTTAAGCAGACTCTAAACTCATCAGCAACTCTTTGGGCCTATGAAGAGCTCTATACTAGTACTATCCAGTAGAAATATAATGTGAGCCACATATGTAATTTTAAATTTCTTAGTATTCATATTAAAATAAAAAGAGGCCAGGCATGGTGGCTTATGCCTGTAATCCCAGCACTTTGGGAGGCTGAGGCAGGAGGATCAGTTGAGCCCAGGAGTTCGGAACCAGCCTGGGCAATATAGTGAGATCCTGTCTCTGTATTGCCAGACAAACAAAAACTAGCGAGGTGTGGTGGCACGACCCTGTAATCCTTGCTACTCAGGAGGCTGAGGCAGGAGGATCACTTAAGCCTGGGAGTTCAAGACTGCAATGAGCTGTGATCCTAACACTACACTCCAACCTGGACAACAGAGCAAGCCACTGTCTCTAAAAATAATAATAATTAATTTTTTAAAAGGTGAAATTTGGCCGGATGCAGTGGCTGATGCCTGTAATCCCAGCGCCTTGGGAAGCCGAGGTGGGCAGATCACTTGAAGTCAGGAGTTTGAGACCAGCCTGGCCAACATGGCAAAACCCTGTCTCTGCTAAAAATAAAAGCTAGGTGTAGTGTCGAGCACCTGTAGTCCCAGCTAGGGAGGCTGAAGCAGGAGAATCACTTAAACCTGGGAGGCAGAGGTTGCCGTGAGCTGAGATCATGCCACTGTCCTTCAGCCTGGGTGACAGAGCGAAACTCTGTCTCAAAAAAAAAAATAGGTAAATAAAGAAAGGTGAGCTCAGTCTTGATAATGCGTTCTCTTTGGTGCTTTATATCCAAAATATTCTTTCTTTTTCTGTTTCATTTTTTGAGGCCAGGTCTTGCTGGTCCATCCACGCTGGAGTACAGTGGTGTAATCATGGCTCACTGTAGCCCCAACCACGTGGGCTCAAGCAATCCTCCTGCCTCAGCCTCCTGAGTAGCTGGGACTACAGGTGCACACCACTATGCCCGGCTAATTTTTTAATTTTTAGTAGAGTCAGGGACTCACTGTGTTGTCCAAGCAGGTCTTGGGGGGACGGGTGCAGTGGCTTATACCTGTAATCCCAGCACTTTGGGAGGCCGTGGCCAGCAGATCGTGAGGTCAGGAGATGAGACCATCCTGGTTAACACGGTGAAACCCCTTCTCTACTACAAATACAAAAAAATTAGCCAGGTGTGGTGGCATGCACCTGTAGTCCCAGCTACTCGGGACGTTGAGGCAGGAGAATCCCTTGAACCCGGGAGGCGGAGAGTTTGCATTGAGCTGAGATCACACCACTGCACTCCAGCCTGGCGACAGAGCAACGGAGTTTCACTCTTGTTGCCCAGGCTTGAATGCAATGGCGCGATCTCGGCTCATCGCAACCTCCGCTTCCCAGGTTCAAGCAATTCCCCAGCCTCAGCCTCCCAAGTAGCTGGGATTACAGGTGCTGCCACCATACTTGGCTAATTTTTTGTATTTTTAGTAAAGACGGGGTTTCACCATGTTGGTCAGGCTGATCTCGATCTCCTGACCTGAGGCAATCTACCTGCCTTGGCCTCCCAAAGAGATTATACTTTTTTTCATATTAAGTTTTCAAAATCCACTGTGTTTTGTTTGTTTGTTTTTTGTTTTTGAGACGGAATCTCGCTCCATTGCCCAAGCTGGAGTGAAGTGGAGCAATGCTGGCTCACGGCAAGCTTGGCTTCGCAAGTTCACGCCATTTTCCTGCCTCAGCCTCCCGAGTAGCTGGGACTACAGGCGCCCACCACCATGCCCAGCTAATTTTTCGTATTTTTAGTAGAGACGGGTTTTCACCGAATTAGCCAGGATGGTCTCAATCTCCTGACCTCATGATTTGCCCTCCTTGGCCTCCCAAAGTGCTGGGATTACAGGTGTGAGCCACCGCGCCCGGCCCACTGTGTGTTTTATACTTAGAGGGGCACATCTCAAGTTGGGCTACCCCCGTTTCAGATGCTCAGTAGCCACGTGTGGAATGGCTATTGTATTGTACAGTACCGCCCTCTACAGGGTAGAAGGAGAGGGGATGGGATATGTTCTCAATTTTGTTCTTTATTCCCCAGTGATTGACCAGTGTTTGCTGCTTTTGATGTTCTTTGTGATCTCCATCTCTGACTCAGTTGTATCATCACTAGCATCAGCACTTTGTTTAAAAATCAATTTTCATTCTTACAAAAGACAACAAAGTATTAATGACAAATACATCTATACACAGGTGCTAATCCTGCTGAAATTGAACTCTTGGCTGGTAGGCAATGCCACCCTGTGGTAGCTCAAAAGTTTATTCATCAATATATGAAAGGCCAAATTCTAAGTAGAGAATGTGGCTTAGGAGTGTTAGTGTAGAATACATTAAATGTGAGTGCTTTTTATTATGAATTTTGGAGTAAATATATGTAGTAGCATGTAGTGAAATTAACTGTTAGGAGAAAACAGAGGTAAGAATTCCTGAGAAGTTGGTAAGATTGTTCTTTTAATGTATTTTTTTTTTCTTCAGGGGTTGCAGATGGTGTAGGAGGCTGGAGAGACTATGGAGTTGATCCGTCTCAGTTCTCAGGGACTTTAATGCGGACATGCGAACGTTTAGTAAAAGAAGGACGGTTCGTACCTAGTAATCCCATTGGAATTCTCACCACAAGCTACTGTGAGTTGCTGCAAAATAAAGTACCTTTGCTCGGTAAGTGGATATCCTATGTGTTTTCCTCTATTGAAGCCCCCTAGATAGTTAAAAACAAAACCAAGAAAATCACTTATCAGACCAGCTTTTTTCTGAGGCTCTTCCTACTAAGCAGAGTGTGATAGAGAAACTATAGGCTAACCGCTGGGCGCAGTGGTTCACGCCTGTAATCCCAGCACTTTGGGAGGCTGAGGCGGGCAGATCACCTGAGATCGGGAGTTCGAGACCAGCCTAACGAACATAGAGAAACCCTGTCTCTCTATGTTGTTCACATCTGTAATCCCAGCACTTTGGGAGGCCAAGGAGGGCAAATCATGAGGTCAGGAGATTGAGACCATCTGGCTAACTCGGTGAAAACCCGTCTCTACTAAAAATACAAAAATTCACCAGGCATGGTGGCACATGCCTGTAATCCCAGCTACTCGGGAGGCTGAGGCAGGAGAATCACTTGAACCCAGGAGGTGGAGGTTACAGTGAGCCGAGATGGCGCCATTGCACTCCAACCTGGACAACAAGAGCGAAACCCTGTCTCCAAAAAAAAAAAAAAAAAGAGAGAGAGAAATTATAGACTAACCAGAATACTTACTACTGTTTGGAGGGAATGTGGATAGGTACAGCACTTCGGAAAACAATTTGGTATTAAATATGAACACATAGTATGCCGCAGCAATTGCACTTCTAGGTGTTTACCCTAGACTAGAGAAACTCTTGCACAATATGTGAACCAAGAGATATGTTGCCAATAATAGCAGAGAACTGGGGACAACCTAAAAGTCTGTCTGTTGTAGAAAAATACATTGTGAAAAGAAATGACTTAAAGCTGCATGCTCTACTCAGGAACATGTTGTGAAGGGAAGAGAGAACATTGCAGAATTCCACCTAACAGATTCCACATATTTCAAGTTTAGAAACATAAAAGGTTAAAACTGTATTGTTGAGGGATTCTAAAACTTGGTAAAAGAAGAAAGAAGAACAAGAGGAAAGAAAAGAAAGGATCTGGCCTGCAAAATTCAGTTCATTACCTGTAATGAGTTCAAGTTGTGTTTGGTCACCTCACACTAACAGGTGATTAGTTGGTGAAATAACTTGGCACAAATTAGACCCCTGATAATTTTGTATTAGAAAACTTAAAACCAAATATCTAGGGGTTGTTTATCTGGTATGCTAATGGAGCATCCTTTGGCCAGGCCTCTACATTTGTTTGTTAAATGGTTTCCTGGGAACTTACCCAGCCTTCTAAGCAGACTCTCAGGGTATTATTACATTTCTGCTCATTGCCAGCGTCTTTCTAATTACTAGAAAGCCTCCCTCCCAGTCACCATTGACATTTAAAATCAGCCTCTGTTTAGCCGGGCGCGGTGGCTCACACCTGTAATCCCAGCACTTTGGGAGGCCGAAGTTGGCGGATCACAAGGTCAGGAAATTGAGACCATCCTGGCTAACACAGTGAAACCCTGTCTCTACTAAAAATACAAAAAATTAGCCCGTGTGGTGGCAGGCGCCTATAGTCCCAGCTACTTGAGAGGCTGAGGCAGGAGAATGGCGTGAACCTGGGGGAGTTGCAGTGAGCCGAGATCACACCACTGCACTCTAGCCTGGGCAACAAAGCAAGACTCCGTCTCAAAAAAAAAAAAAAAAAAGTCAGCCCCTGTTCAGTGTTAATGGAGATCACCACAGTTGTAGAATTTGCCTTCAGTTTAAAGTCCTTTGTAAGGAGTACTTTTTATCAGTCTGCTGTCTTCTGTCTTTGCGCTGTGATTAACTAACTTGTTTTCCTTCAAACTGAGGAGGAATCTTGTCTTGCAGTTGCAGTATATACTGCTTTGTCTGAATTCCCTGTTTTGGACATGCAATCTGGAGCTTGCCTGGCACAGTGAAACATTCTAGATTCTATTTCTAGCACATCTCTGTCAACTTGCTGTGTGACTTTGGGCAACCCGCTTAACCTCTGATCTCCTTGCTTCACATGTTAAATGGAGAGAGAGCCCCTGGACACAGATTCCAGGGGCCTGCCTCCTGCATGTTCTCAAGAGTGGCTCTGCTGACCCCCTGACCCCCGATCATTTACTTTGACTTGAGATAACCGGTTACAAAACACGTAACTATCCTGATTTTACACTTTAAAAGCTTTGGTTTTTGCTGTGCTTTTTTCCTATTTCTACTTTCCCTTTCTTTCTGTTCACCCTCATGTATCTGGGAGATATTAATAAAATATATTGAAATTTAATGTTAGAGAAAATAATATTTTCTTGCATTGAATATTGTGATTACTTTTTTCTCCTAAAAGGCACATTGAAGTAATCTTTCATCACCATGTTTGACATACCTCTTTTTCACAAAATCTACACATCTCTAGGCTGTTGGTAATGAAACTCAAGCATATTTTGACAAAGACAGGCTGCTGAGTTTTACTGAACTTCAGCTAGATATAATTGTAAATCATGACAACTTTATAAGATGTTAGGTAATTTTTTTTTTTAATCCAGCAATTGCGAAAAAGCCTACAAAGCAATTGCAATATAAAAGGCAAGCTGGTAGCTGTAACCATTTATTTCTTTTTTTCTTTTTTTTTTTTTTTTTGAGACGGAGTCTCACTCTGTTGCCCAGGCTGGAGTGCAGTGGCCGGATCTCAGCTCACTGCAAGCTCCGCCTCCCGGGTTTATGCCATTCTCCTGCCTCAGCCTCCCGAGTAACTGGGACTACAGGCGCCCGCCACCTCGCCCGGCTAGTTTTTTGCATTTTTTAGTAGAGACGGGGTTTCACCGTGTTAGCCAGGATGGTCTCGATCTCCTGACCTCGTGATCCGCCGTCTCGGCCTCCCAAAGTGCTGGGATTACAGGCTTGAGCCACCGCGCCCAGCCTATTTCTTTGACTTTCTAGCTGTGTTTGGGTCTAAGGGCATTACAGACTAATTGCTGACATATATGATTTCCTCAGAAACCCTTAAATGGATTGATAAAGTCCTAAGCAGCCAGCGTATCTTAAGAACGTGAGGGATTGGTCCTAATAAGGTTCTCCCTTTTTCTGCCACACAAAAGGCTTAGTAGTAGTTTACAAAATAAGGGGCTGGGTGATAAAAATATTTCCATTTGAGCATGAGGGACTCGCCTGGGTTCCCATCTATCCGGGTCATTTGTCTAAACATCCTACGCTGTGGTTCTCAGCACCGCTTTTCTTACTCATCTTTGCCTGCTTGTTCCTCTCCAAGCACATGAGAATGATGAGCTTTTCTCCCAATATTAGGCTGCTGGGGCCTGAGCCATGTGCACACATCAGGAATTTGAGGAGGCAAAGGAGGAGGGTACACTCCAAGCCCAGATGGTTCTGTAAGACTGGGCTTATACTCGTTGGTGCTGCTTTGGATACTGAAGCTCAGTCACTCACCAGACTGTTTCGATTCCAACTCGGCGAGTTACTGTTGCAGGGTAGCAAAGGATAGCCTGGCTTCATCAGTGAGTAATAACAAGTCACATGAGTCCTTGCAGCAGAATTTTCAAGGATGTGCTACTCAGGTTGTTTTTCTTTCTCAGAATATAATCCCATGAGTTTTCAGAAGATGTTTTGGGTGGTGATCTATTAATGATAAATGGTTAGAGTTGATGTGCACTGAGTTAGGAAGGAAAGGTAATGGGCAATCCTTGTCCTACTGTAAGCTATGGAGCGGGTTATCTGACAGCACTACCAGTGAGTTACAGTACCCATGCTTTGCTTTTCATTGACACTTAATGGCTAGCATAGTATGAGTTTAGTACTAATGCATATATTGTAGATAACAAGGAAATGGAATTTCTGTACATTAGCATGAGAAAGATATGTATATTTTTAAGTGTTTTTAAATTACTTTGTTAGGACAAAATTAACAAGAATTACCCATAATCCCACTAAGAAAACTATTAATATTTGAGTGATTATGCTTTCAGATTTTTTTTCTGTGTGTATTTTTGCATAGAAGAATGGTAACTTGAATTGAGTCTACTGTGTGCTCACAACAGCCCCATGAGGTAAATACATAGGCACTTAATGTTATTCCCCTCCGCCTTTTTTTTTTTTTTGAGACAGGGTCTTGCACTGTTGCCCAGGCTGGAGTACAGTGGTGCAATCCCAGCTCACTGAAACCTCTGCCCCCCCGGGTTCAAACAATTCTTGTGCCTCAGCCTCCCAAGTAGCTGGGATTACAGGCGTGCACCACCACGTCCAGCTAACTTTTTGTATTTTTAGTAGAGAGGGGATTTCACCATGTTGGCCAGGCTTAGAGGCTTAGTCTCGAACTCCTGGCCTTAAATGATCCACCTGCCTCAGCCTCTCAAAGTGCTGGGATTACAGGCATGAGCCACCATGCTTGTTTTGTTAGGAAGAAACAAGTCTGGAGAGAATAAGTGACTTGCCATGGTCATATAACTGGAAAATGATGACACACTGGGATTTAATACAGCTGGTTCCGTGGCCCATTTGTTTTGTTTTCCTTTTAACCATCATTTAAATAATTTAGACTTTGCCTATTGCTTTTTTAAAAAAATTTACTTCTAGTAAACGTTACTCTTTTTGGTGTACAGTTCTTTAAGTTTTGACATCATCTTTTGTTGTTAAGGAAACTTTCATGAGTTTGTAATCTACTTATTTTAAAGTTATCTTTCCTTTCAAATATATTTTATATAATTTTAATGGCTATAAAATAGCCAACACTATCTGTTGTAAGGGTTTGACATGACTTAACTAATTTTAATCCTTAGAAATAATTCTATGAGGTACTTACTGTTATCCCTGTTTTTGTGGATGAGGAAATTGGGGCACAGAGAGGTTAAGTAGCTCTCTCCGTCACAGAGCTGGGAAGTGGCAGAGTTAGGATTCACACATAGGCAGGCTGACTCCAGAGCCTGTACTCCTGAGTATTACGTGATGGTGTATCTTTGCACTGTATGGATGTACTGTAATTTATTTAACCAGTCCCTTATTTTAGATGTTTAGATTGTTTCTAGTTCTTCCTCATCTTAAGCAATGTTTTTGTACTTAAGTGTTGTTTGTCCCTCTAATTATTTTCTTAGCATAAATTCTCACAGATGGAATTGCTACATGAAAGGAGGTACATTTTTCAGGGCTATCTTGCCCTCCAGGAAAGTTGTTTACTTTTACTTTTCACTTCCGCAGAATGTTCTGTGCAGTGGGCATGTTCCCTACACTTTGTCAACACCATGCATTATCTTTTGACTCGTGTTAAACTAATAGGTGAAAAGCATTACTAGTGAGGTGGTCATTTTTTCATATATTTACAGATCATCTACATTTATTTCTTTGTGAACTGCCTATTTTTCTATGTTGTCATTTTTCTGGTGGAGGTAGGTATAGGTTTAACTGTTAGTACTTGAGAGCGGTCTCTGCTAGTTGTGCCGTTAGCGTTTCAGTCTAGGGAAGATTCTGTGGCCCATGCACAGCTAAGCTATCCTGAGTTCTTTGCCCAGAGTCTCTGTCGAATGAACAGGTTGATTCCACAAGCTGCCTGCAGAAATTTGGTCTTGTTGCCTCATAGTGAGTGAGTCATTAGTCTCCAATAAAAGTTCTTCATGACCTCAACAGATGGAAATCTGGTTTAAAATTGTAGTTATGTGCCCTGTCTTAAATGTTGGTGAATTTTGTGGAGAAGGCTTCCTGCCAGTGACTAATAAGAAATGTCAGGAAAATGTAACATTTTCATTCTGGCATTTAAGTATTAAAACTTAATATCTCAACAACATGCTTTTGAGCATTTGGCATAGATGATAGCACTACTGTTGAAATAGTGTGATTAAATACCAGTCATTTTTATTGCTTTCTATCACTGCAAATGAAAGAATTCAGATCATCGGTGGCCCAATTACTATTTATAATACAAATCCTTTTTCTTTCCCCACCCTGTTAACCCTGATCAGGATATTATTGACATTCATAGAGGATGTGGAGCATAACTAAGAAAGGTCCTGTTTAGGCAAAGGAGGTTCAAATTATGGTGTGTTGCTCTTTGGGGTTATGTGTTAATGTGTGTGCAAAGGCAGCCTAGGAAGAAAAAATAAATGGAGATGATTTTTGTTTCTAGGTAGCAGCACCGCCTGCATTGTGGTGCTAGACAGAACCAGCCACCGCTTACACACGGCAAACCTGGGCGATTCAGGCTTCCTGGTTGTCAGGGGTGGTGAAGTTGTGCACCGATCAGATGAGCAGCAGCATTACTTCAACACTCCATTCCAGCTCTCAATCGCTCCCCCCGAAGCTGAGGGAGTCGTCTTGAGTGACAGGTAATCTCCCCTCTCAGCCATTAAGTGTGAGCAGGATGTGGTTCATTCATAGTCCCCTCCTGTCCCCCTTGAATGCAGTGAGGTAGGTATTTCCATGAAAAGAAGACACTGAGAATGTTCTCATCAAGAGGACCTTTTAGTTTAACTTTGAAAGATACTTTGCTGAAACTAGACAATCTAGCTCAGTGGAATTCTGATAAATACCCAATAATTTGACAAGACCCTGAAAATGCTATTTCAGGCTTACAGAATATCAATTTTTTCTTATCAACACCACATGGTACATACAGTACCTTTATGAAATTGTGCTGGAGAAATGAGTCATTCATTGTTCATGCATGCCATTGCTTATACAAGATTTTGCATACATTGTTAGGGAAGAGCACAAACAGACATCTGCGTTATTTATCAGAGTAACTTCCTGATTCTCTAGACCTCTTATTACATGCATCAAATAGAACTTGCAGGAAATTGAATCAAAATGGTCTTGAGTGGCTGGGCACGGTGGCTCACACCTATAATCCCAGCACTTTGGGAGGCTGAGGTGGGTGGATCACTTGAGGCCAGGAGTTCAAGACCAGCCTGGCCAACATGGTGAAACCCTATCTCTACTAAAAATGCAAAAATTAGTTGGGCGTGGTGGCGGGCGTCTGTAGTCCCAGCTACTCAGGAGGCTGAGGCAGGAGAATCGCTTGAACCCGGGAAGCAGAGGTTGCAGTGAGCCGAGATCATGCCACTACACTCTCGCCTGGGTGACAGAGCAAGACACCGTCTCAAAAAAAAACAAAACGTTAAAGCCAGAATGGTCTTGAGGTGGGCACAGTGGTGTAGAACCATAGTCCCAGGTACTTGAGAGGCTGAGGCTGGAAAATTGATAGAGTCCAGCCTGGGCGATATAGCGACACCCTGTCTCTTAAAAAAAGTGGTCTTGGATATGTTCTTTGATAATGTTATTGAGGTGTTCTCTTTTTCTTTCTCACGTCTTTTCTCAATTCACTTTTAAATTGTCAAGAACATTCCAAGATGGTACTTTTTTCTTCCCCCCCTTCTCTGAGACGGAGTCTTGCTCTTGTTGCCCAGGCTGGAGTGCAATGGCATGATCTCGGCTCACTGCAACCTCTGTCTCCCGGTTCAAGTGATTCTCCTGCTTCAGCCTCCTGAGTAGCTGGGATTACAGGTGCCCGCCACTATGCCTGGCTAATTTTTGTATTTTTAGTAGAGTTGGGGTTTCACCGTGTTGGCCAGGCTTGTCTGAAACTCCTGACCTCGTGATCCACCCGCCTCGGCCTCCCAAAGTGCTGAGATTAACAGGCATGAGCCACTGTGCCCAGCCAAGACAGTGCTTTTTTGAGTTGACTTTTACAGTTTTTCTTTTCTTAGATGAGTGTCCAGAGTAAGGCAAAGCCTCAGATTTCAGTGTCTTTAACAATCTTATAGCTTTATAGGACCTGGCACAAACATCACTGGCAATTCATAAATGTTGATTAATGGACAATGAACCTTTTGTAAAAATAGAAGCATTCTAGCAAGTACTTGTCTCTGCTTAATAGCTCTTATTAAACCAGCTCTTAGGTCCAAACTAAGATAAAATGAATTATTATTGCCATCTTTTAAACTGGAATGAGCATGTTATATGATTAAATATTTAGTATTGCCCATCTAAAAAGTAACTTTAGCAGTATAAGTAACTTTTTAAAAGTCTAAATATTCTTCCAATTATGGTCACCAGCCCAAATCCGAAAGTAAAAAGTAAAAGTAGGCGGGTGACCATAATTGGAAGAGTATTTGATTCTAGCCCCTTCTTAAGTTGGCTGTAATCTACATTATTGTTAGCCACACTGGAGTGGGGAGAACTCTGAACCCCAAGGCCTGCATAGAGCCCAAGCTCAGATCACAGTTTTTGGAAACTGGTGCTTTAACTTTTTCTTCATTTGATTCTTCTTGTTGGGCTGCCAAGCACCAAAGCAGCCCTGCCATATCTCACACACTGTCTGTGGCACAGACAGGTTGGGGCAGTACTCTGCCGGCGTGCCAACGAGGTGGAGGTGGCTTCCCCTGGAGCCCAGAGACAGCTCGCTAGCATGTGATTTCAGCTCATGTTTCAGTGCAGTCAAAAGTTTCCAGCAGCACAGTATGTTCAATCAAAATGGGCAAAACTGCAGCTGGCGGAACACCAAGCTCATGGGTGGGAGTGTTAGGAGAGGACAAACTGTCCAATGGGAGCAAGACTCTCACAGACAGAATAGCAAAGGACACTCCTGGGGAAAGAAAAACCTCAGCATAAAACAGAGCTTCAGTGCCAACCTGGTCATTAATCTATACTTCTACAATCTGATTAGCTTTCAAAGGCCGAGTAGATGAGAGCATCTTGCATGGTTTTCTCTTTATTCCACAGAGAGAATTGACCTGATTTCCCCCAGTTTTACAGTCTTTTTCCTTTTTTTTTTTTTTTTTCATGCTGCATGTATCTCCTTAGTTAATGGTCCCTCTTATCTACAGAATATTATTTTAACCTTAACTTACAGGTTTTCCTTTAGTAGACATTTTTACAAAATGTTGATTATCTAAATGTGTAAGTGAAAGTCGGTTCCCTGCAGCAGCACGTGGCAGAACTTCATGTGCCACCTTCTTCCTCAGTCAAGTGAAGATAAACCAGAAATTTTCTGAGTGCATTTAGTGTGAATCCTCATAGGCATGTGTGCTTTTGTTTGGTAGTTTTTATGCTTTCTCTTCACAAATGTTGTCACATGTTGCTTACACAAGTGTTGGGGTTTTTCTGTTGAGCTTAGGGTGCTTTGTGTCTGGTGCCTCCCTTCCGGGTCAGTATCTGATTTGCTTTCCTGGCTCTTGTTCCTTAATTACAGATTAAGGCAGATTATCAGATCTCACCTTTCCCTCCCCAGGGAGGCCTGGAAGGAGTGAAACTGGCCTTAAGAAGTACCCAAGAGGCCGGGCACGGTGGCTCACGCCTGTAATCCCAGCACTTTGGGAGGCCGAGGCGGGCAGATCTCAAGGTCAGGAGATCAAGACCACGGTGAAACCCCGTCTCCACTAAAAATACAAAAAAATTAGCCAGGCACAGTGGCGGGCGCCTGTAGTTCCAGCTACTCGGGAAGCTGAGGCAGGAGAATGTCGTGAACCCGGGAGGCGGAGCTTGCAGTGAACTGAGATCGCGTCACTGCGCTCCAGCCTGGGCGACAGAACGAGACTCTGTCTCAAAAAAAAAAAAGAGGAAGTACCCAAGAACCAGCCTCAGGAGGCCATGATCTCTGAATATAAGATCTTTTCTCCCTACCCAGGGTTTTCCCCCATTTTTATGTCTGCATCTGTTTTTTTTTTTTTTAAGAGTTGTACACAAAAAAGTTTAGTGAGACATCTGCCCCTGTTTCTGTCCTCAGCCACATTCTCTCTCCTCAAAGGTAGCCGCTATGAGCAGTTTTTTTTTTTTTTTTTTTTTGAGACAGATCTCGCTCTGTCGCCCAGGCTGCTGGAGTGCAGTGGCGCAGTCTTGGCTTACTGCTACCTCTGCCTCCCTGGCTCTAGCAGTTCTCCCGCCTCAGCCTCCTGAGTAGCTAGAATTACAGGCGTGCACCACCACTATCTAAGTTTTTGTATTTTTTTAGTAGAGATGGGGTTTCACCATGTTGGCTAGGCTGGGCTTGAACTCCTGACCTCAAGTGATCAGCCCATCTTAGCCTCCCAAAGTGCTGGGATTACAGGCATGAGCCACCACCCACAGCCCGCTATGAGCAGTGTCTTTGATTCTCTCCAGATTTATTCTCTGCATATAGAAGCATCCATATCTGTGTGTCTTTCTGCCCTTTTTTTTTTTTTATGGAAATGGTTGCACATACGACACACCGTCTGCACCTTGCTTTTTTCTTCAACAGTATATTGAAGAGTTTTTTTCCCCAATTTGGAGAGTCAAATATTTAGCTGCTTCATTCATTTAGTTATGCAACAGATACTTCTTTTTTCTTTTTTTGTTTTGAGATGGAGTCTCGCTCTGTCGCCCAGGCTAGAGTGCAGTGGCGCCATCTCAGCTCACTGCAACCTTCACCTCTGGGGTTGAAGCAAGCGATTCTCCTGTGTCGGCCTTCCAAGTAGCTGGGATTATAGGCACACGCCACCATGCCACCATGCTTGGCTAATGTTTATATTTTTAGCAGAGATGGGGTTTCACCATGATGGCCAGGCTGGTCTTGAACTACTAACCTCAAGTAATCTGCCTGCCTCGGCTTCCCAAAGTGCTGGGATTACAGGCGTGAGCCACCACGCCCAGTCAAGATACCAAGATATTTCTTGAAGACGTGTTACACCAGGCACACTAATAAATACCCATGTGTGATGAGCACTTTGGGACCCTGGGGAGACACAGAGTCCTTACTGTGCCAGTACACTGTAGATATTTCAAGTGAATGAATTCTTTTTTTTTTTTCTTCTTTTTTTTGAGACGGCGTTTCGCTCTTGTAGCCCTAGCTAGAGTGCAATGGCGTGATCTAGCTCACTGCAACCTCTGCCTCCCAGGTTCAAGCGATTCTTCTGCTGCAGCCTCCCTAGTAGCTGGGATTATAGGCGCATGCCACCACACCCGGCTAATTTTTTGTGTTTTTGGTAGAAATGGGTTTCAACCAGGCTGGTCTCGAACTCCTGACCTCAAGCGATCCGGCCAAGTCTCACTCTGTCGCCAGGCTAGAAGGCAGTGGCACAGTCTTGGCTCACTGGCTCACTGCAACCTCCATCTCCTGGGTTCAAGCAATTTTCCTGCCTCAGCCTCCTGAATAGCTGGGATTACAAATGTGTGCCACCACGCCCAGCTAATTTTTAAATTTTTAGTAGAGATGGAGTTTCACCATGTTGGTCAGGCTGGTCTTGAACTCCTGACCTCAGGTGATCCACCTGCCTTGGCCTCCCAAAGTGCTGGGATTACTACAGGTGTGAGCCACCATGCCCAGCAGTGAATGAATTCTTACAGGATTGGCATGTTGTTCTCCACAGGTACTCATCATTCCACCCTCACAGCACCCCAGGAGCCAGATTCGAATATCCAAGGAAACTGATGAGTGAAATATGTGAATAAGAGAGGGTGGGCTGGGCGACTGGTGATTACAGTGGCTCACGCCTGTAATCCCAGCACTTTGGGAGGCCGGGGCAGGTGGATCACCTGAGGTCAGGAGTTCAAGACCAGCCTGGCCAACATGGCAAAAGCCTGTCTCTACTAAAAATGTAAAAAAAAAAAAAAATTAGCCGGGCATGGTGGTGCATGACTGTGGTCCTACAGGCACTATTTTACATACCTGTAGTCCCAGCTACTCGGGAGGCTGAGACAGGAGAATCGCTTGAACCTGGAAGGCAGAGGTTGCAGTGAGCCTATATCGTGCCACTGCACTCCAGCCTCCAGCCTCCACGACAGAGTGAGACTTGTCTCCAATTGTCTCCAAAAAAAAAAAAAAAAAGGCTGGGCGCAGCGGCTCACACCTGTAATCCCAGCACTTTGGGAGGCCGAGGCAGGCAGATCACAAGGTCAGGAGATCAAGACCATCCTGGCAAACACGGTGAAACCCCGTCTTTACTAAAAATACAAAAGAATTAGCCGGGCGTGGTGGCGGGCGCCTATAGTCCCAGCTACCCAGGAGGCTGAGGCAGGAGAATGGCGTGAACCTGGAGGGGCGGAGCTTGCAGTGAGCAGAGATCATGCCACTGCCCTCCAGCCTGGGCGACAGAGCGAGACTCCATCTCAAAAAAAAAGAGAGAGAGAGGGAGGATGGAATTTGGCTCTAAAGTATTAGGAATAAAGACTCATTTCCACTTGGATTTTAGAGGTGTGTTAGATCTGACTCAGAAGAGAACCCTTCCTCCTTCTCGGCCACTTGTGACTAATCATCATACTTGGTTTTACTCAGGAGTTTCAGTTAAAATTTTGAAACATTTTATATTAGTTTTCAATTAACTTTTTTCAGGGTTGGGAGTTTCAGAGTGACTTTTTTAAAAAATTGATTACATTATTATAAATTAGTTTTTCTTGCAGAAGGCTTATTACATTGTAAAATAGTGCCTGTAGGACATTTTGAACTCATCTCTAAAGGGCCTTTTTAACTTTGTCCCTCTCCTGTCCTTGCCACAGTCCGGATGCTGCTGATAGCACGTCTTTTGATGTCCAGTTAGGAGACATTATCCTGACGGCAACAGATGGACTCTTTGACAACATGCCTGATTATATGATCCTTCAGGAGCTAAAAAAGTTAAAGGTAATTAACTCAAAGGTTAGCTCTTGGGAACAGTGGCCCTCTCTGGACAGCTGAGTTTTATGGATTCAGTTGCATTATCTCTTTGTAGTTTTGGAAAGAACTATTTTGTGAATTTCAGGAAACTAATAATAGCTCTGGTCTTTCAAATAATTAGAGCACTTGGAAAAAGAAGCTTCCTACCCAAGTTTTTCATAGGCTGGTAAAAGTAGGAAAAGTCTAGATGGAGGGCATTTCTTGTTTGTATCTTTATTTGCATTTTAATGGTGTCTAATGGTGTTGGGTCCTGGTTGTCTTTTCTCCTTTTATTCTTCTAACACACCCAGCAGGTGTTGAATCAGGCAAAGACAGGAAATAGTCATGCCAGAGCCAGCCAAAGGCAGCAGGCCGCTGGAAGCCTCAATGTGACCTGAGCTGCCACCGGTAACCAAATAGTTTGGGTTTCTCCCATAGAGAAAGGAAGGAGGTGAAAACTAGGCTTTCAACTTTTTCCTGGCTTTGTGAACACACTCTGGGGAAAATTAGTCTTTTTCTCATGAGTCTTTACCTCTAACAAGTATGACTTTGGGTACATTTCTTTCTTTCTTTTTTTAATTATTTATTGAAGTTGCTGAGATCTAGGGGTTCTTAAAACTGTTTAAGCAGTACTTTCTTCACATAAAATGGGGCATCCTAAAGATCCTCTTTTATAGGGTTGCAGTGAGGATTAACTACAGCCCTGTGTAGGAACTCCTTAGTGCCACGCCTTGTCTGTGGAGTGCAGTGTGAGGTGCTTCCTTGTCGCAGGCACTGTGTTCTGTGTGGTGACACAGTGCTGAGCAGAATCTACACAGTCCCTACCTGTATGGAACTTACATCCTAGTGGAGGAAAATAGATAAATACAGGGAAGTAAATCTATGATGTAATGTGGGTGCTAAATAAGAAGAAAAACAAAGCTGGATAAGGGAATAGAGAGTAGAAGGGACTGCTACTACTTTAGATAGATTGGTCAGGGAGGGCCTTTTTGAGGAGGTGACATTGAAGCAGAGACCTGTCGTTATACTGAAACTAGAGCTGAAGTGGACCTCGTGTTCCCATCCCCGTTTTGCAGATGAGGAAGTTGGAGCAGCAAGGATAAAGTTATGGCCCAAGATTTCACAGCTAGACAGGAATCTCCTCCTGATACAAAATTCTGAAGGTATTTTCACTAGAGCAACTGGCAGCTCTTGGAGGCAAACTGGGGTTGGCCAGGGTGTGTTCCTAAGCAGGGAAGTTTTTGAAGTATCCTTCAAAGGCTATCAGAATCTGCCTTTTCAGTTCATCCTATTTTAGCAAGAATACCTTAAGAATTTCAAATGGGAAAAATGCAAAAATGAAAATCCAAACTTTAGGGCATAAGGCCACCATAGCAAAGGATTTTCTGATTGATACCTTGTGCAGGCAGCACTGGTGTCTTGTTCATATTAGCCAGGGCATGATGTTTTAATGTCTTTTCTAACTAGAATAAAACTTAAATGATGGAAAAGGTGGTTAGATAAATGTTACTGTCTTGAGCATTATGGTAAAATAACTTCCTCATGCTTTATCTTAGAATCCAAATTATGAGAGTATACAACAGACTGCAAGAAGCATTGCTGAGCAAGCTCATGAGCTGGCCTATGACCCAAATTATATGTCACCTTTTGCACAGTTTGCATGTGACAATGGATTAAATGTGAGAGGTAAGCATTCTTTGGGAAGGTCATAGGGACTGGGGACATGGTGTCAGTAGAGTGGAGCATTCTGGGCTCTGGGTGAGACTGTGGAGGTGTCCTCTCCCAGCCCCCAAGCTGTGCACTGGTGGCTTTCAGCAAGGTCAGGAGGATGAGAGCAAGTGCATGTCGTTATGTCTTCCCCACACAGCATGCCCTTCAGAACTGAACCTCACTGGCCGCAGAGGCAGGTGGAACCTGAAGCCCTTTATTGCTGCCACCGCAATGCTTGGACCTGAGCCCAAAAGGCCTCTGAGCTCTGCCCAGAGTGCGTGGACATTCCTAACAGTTTAACATTCTGCCTTTCACGTGTCTGACATTTCGCTTCTCCCTTCCTCTGGCTTTGTGGGACTCAACAGTATTTGCCTGCCAAATTGCCACAGCAGGGTTTGAAGAGGGAAGCAATGTGAAACTGCTCTTGACTGAAGACTTGTCCTATCTACTGCATGATGTGTGACTTTGGGAGCAGGCCGGTGGCTCCGTCTCAGGGCTGGGACGACATGTTGGTGCTAGCATATCAGAGCTAGTAGAATTAGTCAGTTTCTTGTTGATATAATTTTATGACATGTAAAACATTTCTTAGTCCTCCAAAAAATGTTAAAATAGAAAAAAAGTGCATGCCATAGCTGCTTGGCAGATTAGAATACAAGGCTATTCCTAGTTTCAAAACATTGGATATGTTTGTCTAAATTAGGATTGTGGGTATAGAAGCATGTAACTTTCTCGTCAGATTCTCTGAGATTGATGTGAACAGAGGATGTGGTGGCTGTTTGAATAGAGCTCCTGTTGTAAAGGAGCAGGGAAGATTTTTTTTTTTTTTAAGCTTCAGTTTCATATAATTTCTTGGAGTTTTGTTTAACTGTTTTTCTTTATCAAATATTTTTTTCTTTATTCTACTAGGGTATACTGACAAACCAAAACTGCCTGGAATGCAAGCATTTGTCTCCTAGTACTTATTTAAGTACACTTTTTTTTTTTTTTTTTTTTGAGGCGGAGTCTTGCTCTGTCGCCCAGGCTGGAGTGCAGTGGCCGGATCTCAGCTCACTGCAAGCTCCGCCTCCTGGGTTCACGCCATTCTCCGGCCTCAGCCTCCCGAGTAGCTGGGACTACAGGCGCCCGCCACCTCGCCCGGCTAGTTTTTTGTATTTTTAGTAGAGACGGGGTTTCACCGTGTTAGCCAGGATGGTCTCGATCTCCTGACCTCGTGATCCGCCCGTCTCGGCCTCCCAAAGTGCTGGGATTACAGGCTTGAGCCACCGCGCCCGGCCTTAAGTACACATTTTTTATTGACTTTTCCTTTTAAAATATACTGATAGGTTCTCATTTTCATTGTAGGTGGAAAGCCGGATGACATCACCGTCCTTCTTTCAATAGTGGCTGAGTATACAGACTAGCCGAGGTGTCGAGTCCTGCCTTTCCTTTCATCATCCCAAATTTCCCCTGCCATGTGTGCTGATCCTGCTGGCAGGACCACATTTCTTTGCCACTGATCTCAATGGCCAGTGATGTAAGTCTTTTGCCTGTCTTCTTGAGACCCATTGAGATCTTTGTTGAGAACCACTACTATCATTCACTAGCTCATATCTGCCGGCAGCAATTGAAGAGATCCAAGATTTGAAGATTGGCCTTCATTTCTCGATGTTCTTTCCATGATGGGGATGGAGGTGTTCAGTGCCACCGTGGCTGTTTCTTTTCAAAAGTAGTTGAAGTATTGAAAAGAGTAATGTTGGTAAAGTGAATTCAAAATCCTAGTGTGCTAAAGGGATTGTACAAGTCTAACACAAATTGTACGTAATGATACATCTAGAAACATACATTATTCATCAAAAGAAATGTTACATGTGTACTCCACAGGCATAGTCTTTGTTATGATGATTGGTGTGGCTTTATGTCTTTGTTATAAACTCCTATTTTTCAGGGGCTTATGATTCTGCTCTAAAACATTGCTCTGGGTTATACAGTTTTGATCCCAGAAGCTTTTTTGTTACAAATCGGGAGAAAAATCCATTTTAGTTCTATGGGTGCAAATATTTCATGCTTTTAAAAAGATGCTTGTGTTCCTATGGTTAAAGTTTTGGCAGTTTATTGATTAGTCCAAATCACAGGCTAAGGTCTGATCACCAGGAGGGGTGGGGGAGACACTTTACCAGTATTTCTTTATGGAAATAATATTCAAGATTGTAAAACCCCTCAAAGCCTAGAAATTTAATGTTAGGCTGAAATTCCTCCTAGTTGTCTGATAGGATGCCCCCGAATGGGAACTCTAGGGCCCAAGGCCTGAAGGGTTGAGAACAAACAACTGTAACTTTGAATTTTGTTGGCTTTCAGTGGTCATGCTACCTACCCATACTTGTACTCTCAGACCTTTTATTAGTAGCCTTGCTTTCTATAGAGCATGCACCAAATCCAGTGAGTCCATGTGGAGAGAGCACTGTGTGCAGCGGCAGCAGCACAGACGTCCATGAGGAAAACTCCCAGTGATGATCTGACATTTACAATTACCCCACACAGAAATGTAGGGGTTTCTGAATCAAAGCTTAATGTTTACAGTTTCCGAATAGCCATTTTGCAGTGTATAGTTTCCTTACAAATCTACCCCGCATTCAGTTTTCCCATTATCTGCAAGCTGAAACTTATTTTTAAGGTTTGTGTACAAGTGGACTGCTGTAAAGATATATATTTTTGGGTCAGTTTTTTCCTTCATTAACTTGGTGGTAGAAAAAAATATATACTTAGAAATCCTTAAATTAAAGCCATGTTTTATATATAAGTCAGGTAACATTGGTGTATAGATGAGAATGCAATTAAACCTGATGAGAATCTACTTGAGAATACAGAAAGTCTTTCTCTAAAGGAGATACTGACTCCCTGGTTTATTGCATTAAAATTTATGTTTGAGGTTACCTCAACTTGTTTTAAAAGATTTTGTTTTGTGAATTTGTACTGTATATTTGAGTAACTGTCAAGCTTTTATTTAAAATTGTTTAACATGTACCATGTACATGTCATTACTATATTTCAATGCATCATGCTTGTAACAGGCATTTCATTTATAATAAGAATGAGTTATTCATTTGTAAGCCGTTCAGTAATTTATCTACTATTCCTAAATTGGCATAATGTTAGATAATCTATTTTGAATCACCTTTAATTACATGTCAGAATGCCTTAACTACCCTAACTTGACAAAACAGAATTCTTTGGTAGACGAGGTGGGGGCGGGGTGGGGGGTCTGGAGGGAGACTCTATTTAAGGAGAAATCATGCTATGATAAAACACAGAAGCATGAGTGGCAAGTGGCGGGGTATTTATTTTGCACAAACTATTTGCAGTCTCTGTGTACTTAAAAAGTAAAGAAAGTTGCATCCAGAAGGGTTTTGTTAGAAGGAATACATTTATATTAGGATTGACAACTTCAGCTCTTTTGTTTAGGTTTTCAATTATTTTTGGTAAGAGGTATGTAGCCTTATGATCTGGATATATTTTGCATTCATTTTCCAACGCCTATGTTTAATTCCTGGTAAGAGCAGTGCTCGTCAAGTTTCTGGTTTTTCTCTGCTCTCATTTAACCTGTCAAACACAATCTTTGTAAAGCTAGATTGGTGGTGTTATACACAACTCATTTACTCAGCTTACCTTTTTGAGAAATGATTGTTAGAAATTGACAATGTGTTTGTTCCAGTGATACTGAAAGTAGTGGGGCAAGAATTGAGTTTCACAGTGGAATTGACTTTGGATCTGGCCTATAGATTAGTGACATAAAATATTTTCTCTATTTTCCCCTGTTCTTTTTGTGTTATGCACTTAATTTTATGACTGCCGGGGGGGTCAGTTGGAGTGCTGCTTAACAAGTATCTCCCCTACTCTCAGTGGTCAGAGGCTGTGTTGGACCCATAGTAGAATTTTCCAGGTCACAGACCCAAGCTTCCATGGGTTGTTACTGTGCTGTACCACTTGGTGGGTCTGATTCTGAACCTGATGTGTGTGTTAATTGTATTTTAAGCCACACACACACACTTGCCTCATGTAATGGACTTTTATAACAAAAGAAAAAATTTGGATTTCTAATTTACAAATGGCAAATTATCCCTCTCTGGATGCACCAAAGACCAGTAAAGTTTATAGCTTTTCCATCTATATTTATAAAGCAATACTGTATTATAAAAATCAATATTTTTATCACATGCTTGAAATTTTTATTTTGTTCTGTTTTAAAATGTGCACTCTAAACATATCAGAACCTTATTTCTTCCTATGAACTTAAGCTGCCTGCGCACAAAAAAAAAAAAATTTTACCAAATGGAGATGCAATAGAGTCTATAGGCTCTGAAAACTAAAAGAAGAAATGGGAGGCAGGGGGAACAAGTTATTTGTCCTGAGTTACTGTATTTGCTTGACATGGTTGATGGGTACTAAGTCACAAAAGAATCCATTCCAGGTATGCATGTCTGGGGGTTGGGCTGTGTCTAGATTAGAAACTCGGTTTTAAGCTTTGCGTGATGGGAGAGCATCGTCTCCTATCAGCTGCATGTGTTCTGGATAGGACAGTAGCCCGGAGATGGAAACCACCTTCAGTACCACTAGCCCACCATACCAAGTAACAAGTTAGGCAGGAATCGTGGGAATTTATTGAGTCAGCTTTGAGTGTTTGGGAGAATGTAAACAAGATATTGGCTTGAACTGTAAACATTTGTACTTTTGGTAAGTTCATGGTTCCTTAGGTCACCTTATACCAGCTGTCTTTGGTAGAAGCTACAGCATTCAGTTTCTCTGGAAACTGTATCACATTTTTGCATTTTAAAAATTTTACAGTATCAAAAAACCAAAATCTGCTTATAAAACAAAACATGAAGCAGAACATATTTGGATTCTATTTATTTAAAATTAAATTCTTTGCAAAATTGAACTTCTCAACTAAAATGTGTCCATGTCAAAATTTTAACTGTTAGCAGGTAGTTTGTGGCAAAGATGGCTAAATAATGAAGCAAATTAGAATCTGTGTGTATACTAATGAGCTGCTTTTTTTCTGTTGAGACTATCATTATTTGTCTTATTACCCAAGAGGCAATTACCTGAATTTGGATGTCTGAATTATAACTTATGCAGGAATAGTTCTGTAAATACATTTAAATAAACTGTAAAGATATTTAATAAACATAGTATTTATACTAATCTGTGTACTTCTTTTGGTTTGAATAGTAACTAAGTGAGACACCAGCCCTTGACACTGAGTTTGTTCGTCTCAAGTCCTCATTTCTAAGCCTCCTAGTCATTCTAGCACTGAATATATGCTACTACTTTAACTGGCTCCAACTGGCTGCTTCACTACATCAGGTGAGCTTCCTCAGAAATTCATCAATATGGACTGACAATTGAATGTAAATTATAGAAGTTTTTCCCAGCTGAGGCTTTGCACCTTCCATATATAGAGGGAAGTATAGAGGGAAACTACAAAAAAAATCTGGTGTAGAGTCGTGTTGTTTAACAACAGAGATGTTCTGACAGATGCATCCTTAGCAATTTCATCATTGTGTACTGACACAAGCCTAGATGATCTAGCCTACTACACATCTGGACTATATGGATAGCCTGTTGCTCCTAGGTGACAAACCTGTATAGCATGTTACTGTACTGAATACTGTAGGCAGTTGTAACACAACAGTAAGCATTTTAATATCTAAACATAGAAATGGTTCAGCCAAAACTATGGTATGAAAGACAAAAAACGGTACACCTGTATAGGGCAACTCCATTATCTTATGGGACCACCACTGTCTGTGCGGTCCATCATTGACCAAAACTTTGTTATGCAACAGATGACTGTATTTCAACTTAGCACTTTGTATCCAAATTCTAAAATCCAAAGTGCCCGGCTAATTTTTGTATTTTTTGTAGAGATGGGATCTCACCATGTTGCCCAGGCTGGTCTTGAACTGCTGGGCTCAAGTGATCCTCCCACCTGGGCCTCCCAAAGTGCTGGGATTACAGGCATGAGCCACTATGCCCCACTAGTGTTAACTGTCTTTAATAGTCCAATGCTGCATCCAGGCTATTACTGATGATGATGCTTTCAAGACCTAAACCCCTCTGCCTATTTCAATGAATGAACCAGAAATGTTATCCTCAGCAGAGACCTACAGAGTTACTCTTGTGTATAAAAGCTCCCTGTGTCTAACAAATCTGCATTTGTTAGAAATATCAGAAATTCAGTGTTAATCATCAGTGTAAGCATGAGATACATAAATCTTCAGCCTACCATGTGAAAGGACTTAGTTGAAATTATGTGGGCATTGCCAATTACCACAAAAAGCTTGGTTAAGGCCCATTTTCATTCACTAAGGAACATCTTGGGATGAACTTGAGTTTTTATTAGGTTATTGTGGGTAGCTATGACTCATTACTAAGCTACAAGAGCCAAATTCATTCTGGTTTCAGTTAGAACTCTATTCACAGTTCTAAAGCATGCTAATCTACTCCGCCACCTTTATGAATTTCTCACAAAGTCTAAACTACAATTGTTTGCCCGTTAACATTTCCTTAGGTTTGAAGGTTTCAGAAAGACTTAACAATAAGATGTTACAAAAGTCTCGTTTGTCAGGTTATAATTGACTGTAAACAGGTTTGGGGGAGGGAGAGGCACACATCATAAGACATTACATAACTATGTTTTGTGCCAGATTTTTTAGTCCATTTGTACAGGTAAAAAGCTAACTCTTAAAGGGCCAAAGAACAGAGACATTTGTCTTCTACCTTATTCCACTCCAAACTCAGGCTGTCTTGGCAGTGGAGGATACTGTTCTATGTCAGGTAATACAGAAATATTTGGCATCACTTCCATTAAATTCTTTTCTGCATCACACTGCAAAATAAAAAATCACATCTGAAAATCAGAACAATTTGAGGTTAACAAATAAAATTTTTTTTTTTTTTTTTTTTTTTGAGACAGAGTCTTGCTCTGTTGCCCAGGCTGGAATGCAGTGGCCGGATCTCAGCTCATTGCAAGCTCCGCCTCCCGGGTTTAGGCCATTCTCCTGCCTCAGCCTCCCAAGTAGGTGGGACTACAGGCGCCCGCCACCTCGCCCAGCTAGTTTCTTTGTATTTTTTTAGTAGAGACGGGGTTTCACCGCTTTAGCCAGGATGGTCTCGATCTCCTGACCTCGTGATCCGCCCGTCTCGGCCTCCCAAAGTGCTGGGATTACAGGCTTGAGCCACCGCACCCAGCCAGAAATAAAATTTTATAATACGTAAAAACACTCCAGGCTGGGCGCAGTGGCTCAAGCCTGTAATCCCAGCACTTTGGGAGGCCGAGGTGGGCAGATCACTTGAGATCAGGAGTTCAAGACCAGCCTGACCAACAAGGTGAAACCCTGTCTCTACAAAATACAAAAAATTAGCCCGCCATAGTGGCACGCACCTGCAATCCCAGCCAACACTGGAGGCTGAGGCAGGAGAATCACTTGGACCTGGGAGGCAGATATTGCAGTGAGCAGAAATGGCACCACTGCACTTAAGCCTGAGTGACAAAGTGAGACTCCGTCTAAAAAAACCAAGTGAAAGTGACTATATATTTTTATTCTTGATCTTTTTTCCAGGGTTTATTCTACTTAAAATATAAAAAACAATGGACAAAAAAGGCCATGGTATTACATGAGAAAACTAAAATCCAAATGTTTGCAATCAAATACAAAAGATACCTGACTACAAATCACAAAATTCCATTTCAAGCCATCTTGATGCACTCCAAATGGCTGTTGAATAAAGTTTAAATACCTTTATAAAACTAGCAAAGATGTTAAAAGCTCTAGGGTGAACATGCATTGAATTGAATAACTCTAATGGGCTTTTTTCCTTCACAGAAAACTCTTCTGCCTCCCAAGTAGCATAATGGATTTAAAGCAAGTTACATACACTTGACAAACAGCTATTTCTAGATATGGTTGTTGTACAAGGTGATGTGGTTTAAAAGCCCATCCTCCATTCCAAGGAAGTCCTGGACAACCTCTTTTAGACACTAAACATGCAAACTCGTGCTTGAGGGGCAAATGAGCCAGTCACTGGGCTGTGGGCCAGCTCAGACATCATTAAGCATTAGAATATAGAGAAACTGCCATTATTCATGTCCTCTTCACTGTCACTTGCTCTTGCCAGACTGTCGAAAGGGTGGTTGAAGTGTTCTTGCTGGTCAGAAGAAACTGCTCCAAAGAACATGCAAGAAAACTGGAGGGAAAAAAGGAACTGCACTGTTGATTCCAAAGAGAAAGTTTGCTCATTAAATGCTCCAGGTGACAGTCCTCTTCAGAAATCTGACCAGTATTATATCCCTCTTTGCTGGTGATGGTTCACAGAACACCCAGAACCTTCATTATTGGTCCAACAAGTCCTAAAACTATACCTTTCCCTGACTTCAAAGGCACACGACAATCTTCAGTTTGGGATCAATGGTCTGCTGCTGACTCCCCTCCTGAGCCATCAAAGCTTCCACCAGGACTGTGAAAGGCAGAGGTCAAGGAAGCCTCTGTAGGCCACTGGATGAATTCATCCATCTTTCCTTCCTCTCCTGCTACAGCAGAAGCCACCCTTCCAGGTTAAAGCCAGTCATTCCCTATCTCCGCATCCCAGCCCCCTCAGAATATTAGCATTTTCAAATGCTCAAATGCCTCTCATCTTTACTTTTTTATTTGTGATCAGGTCTTGCCCTATTGCCCAGGTTGCAGTGCAGCTGTGTGATCACAGCTCACCACAGCCTCAAACTCCTGGGCAATCCTCCCACCTCAGCCTCTGGAGTAGCTGTAACTACAGGCATGCACCACTATGCACAGTTTTGGTTTTTTTTCCCCTCATAAAGACGGGGTCTTGCTATGTGGCCCAGGTTGGTCTCAAACTCCTGGCTTTAAGCAATCCTCCCGCCTTGGCCTCCCAAAGTGCTAGAATTACAGGCATGAGCCACTGGGCCCAGTCTTCTTATCTTTAAAATACAGAAATAGCCAGGCACAGTGACTCATGCCTGTAATCCCAGCACTTTTAGGAGGCTGAGGCAGGTGGATCGCCTGAGCTCGAGACCTCAGGAGTTCGAGACCAGCCTGGTCAACATAGTGAAACCCTGTCTCTACTAAAAATATAAAAAATTAGCTGGGCGTGGTGGCGGGTGCCTGTAATCCCAGCTACTAGGGAGGCTGGGGCAGGAGAATCACTTGAACCTGGGAGGCGGAGGTTGCAGTGAGCTGAGATTGAGTCACTGCCAGCCTGGGCAACAAGAGTGAAACTCTGTCTCTAAATAAATAAATAAATAAACAAACAAATAGCCTAACCTTATCCCATTTCCTTCAGTTACCGCTTTATCTCTACTTGTAGACCTGTCTACACCCACTGTCTCCATCTTCTCATTCTCCTACTCTTTAACTCTACTTTAAAAAAGCTTCTCTAGGTCAGGCACAGTAGCTCACACCTGTAATCCCAGCACTTTGGGAGGCCAAGGCGGGTGGATCACCTGAGCTCAGGAGTTCGAGACCAGCCTGGGAAACCCTGTCTACTAAAATACAAAAAAATTAGCTGGGTAGTGATGTATGCCTGTAATCCCAGCTACTTAGGAGGCTGAGGCATAAGAATCACTTGAACCCGGGAGGTAAAGGTTGTAGTGAGCCGAGATCGCGCCCCTGCACTCCAGCCTGGGCAACAGAGCAAGACTGTCTTAAAAAAACAAAACTTCTCCCTCACTGACCCCCATATCACAGAAACCCCCCTAGAATTTACCACATCCTTAAAGTCAGGACCCATTTTCAGTCCTCCCCACTTGATATTCACTCTGACACATCTTTCTCATGCTGTACTCTCCTGGCTGCTCTTAGCTGGCTTGCCCTCTTCTAAGCAGCCACTGAACTTGGGTTTCTTAACTTCAGCGCTGTGGCCATCTGAGGCCTTATGAGTCTGGGGTAGAGCTCTCCTGCAGGGAGGAAGATGATGGGCGGCACTGTGGGTCTTTACTCGCTTACATGCAAGTAGCATTCCCTTAACATATCCAAAACTGAATTCATGGTCCTACTAAGCCCTGAATCTACTTCTCCAAACCTAAGACCTTTTTCCTTAACCCCCATAACCAATCCATCACCAAGTCTTGCTAGTTTTGGCTCCTAAATGAACTATCTCCACTTCTCATCTAAGTAATCACTGTCTCTCAGATGCTACAATTGGGTGACTATTGCCTCACTGAAGCCCGTTTTTCATATAACACTAGCGGCTAAAGTCATCTGGTCAACATTCAGCTCTGTCAGCCCTCCCAGATAAAGCCATTCAAATATTTTAAATACCCAGGTACTTTGGCCGTTTGCACAGCTTCCAGGACTCTCCAACATGATCTGGGCTCTTACCAAGCGCTCTAGCCTCCCCTTGTGCCACCGTCTCCCTCTGGCTCTGATCTCCAACCACAGTGGCCATCCCTCAGCTCCTTCAAGTCCCCAGGCTCCTTCCCCTGCCAGGGCCTTTGCACAGGCCGCCCTCCCTGAGCTCTACCCCCACCCCCATGCCCTCATCCTTTCCAGCTCCGCTCAAACACCAGTTTCAAGGGGAAGACGTTCTGACCTGGATTAAGGCAGTACATACCATTAAGTCTTCTCCAAGCACCCTGAACTTCTCCTTTATTGAACTAAACACAGCTTTTTAAAAATTATATATTTAGTCATGTGACTATGTTATACCTATACCCTAGTCCTGATACCTGATACCCATTCTAGTCTCTAAGTTGAGGAAGCTTGTTTATTTTGTTCACTGTAGTATCCCTAGCATGGCTGTCTAGGACACAGCTCTCAAGAAATATTTGGAGCTGCATGGTACCACAAGAGAACAAATGAATGAGCCCTGTTCTTGGGTCATCCTCACGTCTCAGAAGGTGAAGATGCCCTCTGCAAGGCTTGCCTTGCAGCTGTTGAACCTGCTCCCCAGACAGCTGTGATATAAGCTGTGGTGGGCAAGATAATGGTTCCTAAAGAGGTCCATATACTAAGCCCATGAACCTCTGAAGATGTTATGTCACACTGCAAAGAGGAATTAAGGTAGCAATTGGAATTAAGGTTTCTAATTGCTGATGCGGAATAGCCAAGTGGGCCCAGTGTAATCACAGAGATCCTTAGAAATGGAAGAGGGAGACAGAAGAGTTAAGGTCAGAGTGCGGCTGTGTGGAAAAAACCAGCCGTTGCTGATTTTGAAGCTGGAAAGGAACTACAAAGCAAAGAATGGAAGTGGCCTCTAGAAGCTGGAAAGGGCAAGAAAGCAGATTCTCCCCCAAAGTCTCCTGAAGGGAACACAGCTCTGATGACACCTTGATTTTAGCCCAGTGAGACCCAATTAGGACTTCTGACTTTCAGAACTGTAAGATACTCAATTCACGTTGTTTCAAGCCACTAAATTTGTGGCAATTTGTTAGAGGGTCATTGGGAAACTAGCATACTGATCTGGCCATAATGGGAGGCATGGTTTTTCTTTTTTTTTTTTTTTTTCGCTCTGTCACCCAGGCTAGAGTGCAGTGGCGCGATCTCAGCTCACTGCAAGCTCCGCCTCCCGGATTCATGCCATTCTCCTGCCTCAGCCTCTCGAGTAGCTGGGACTACAGGTGCCCACCACCACACCCAGCTAATTTTTTGTATTTTTAGTAGAGATGGGGTTTCACCGTGTTAGCCAGGATAGTCTCGATCTCCTGACCTTGTGATCCGCCTGCCTTGGCCTCCCAAAGTGCTGGGATTACAGGCATGAGCCACCGTGTCCGGCCAATTGGAGGCATGGTTTCAATTGCCTCTAAAGAGTCTAGTCTTCACCAAGGTCAAGATCCTAAGGCTAGAAAAGACCTAAATATAGCACCTGTGTCTGCCCATGTACATCATCACATGCAAAGAGCTCTTGATAATGTTTGTGGTGCTGTATGAGACTCGAAAGCTGAGGTTTTCTTTAATCTTTGAGAGCTGCCCTGAATTTGCTACTGGCTTAAACACTATTTGCTACCCTCCCTTGTCCCCACCTTCAGCCTGTGAGTCTCATATGGCTGGATAATGGGGCCCTTCTCCATGTCTAGTAATCTAATGGAGGAACCTTGAGAACACCCATGCAACCAGAAATTAACCTCAAATCCAATATGAGTTGGGTAAGAAGAGAGTTATAAAATCCTTTTTTTTTTTTTTTTACTAATATACATATTGTCCCTATTTTGATGCCCCCAAGAGCCGTGTATAACTTCTGGTTTAAACTTAATGAAAAATCCACAGTGGGTCAGGCACGGTGGCTCATGCCTATAATCCCAGACTTTGGGACGCCAAGACAGGTGGATCACCTGAGGTCAGGAGTCCGGGACCAGCCTGGCCAACACAGTGAAACCCTGGCTCTATCAAAAAATACAAAAATTAGTTGGGCATGGCCAGGTGTGGTGGCTCATGCCTATAATCCCAGCACTTTGGGAGGCCAAGGTGGGCAGATCACTTGAGGTCAGGAGTTTGAGACAAGCCTGGGCAACAGTAAAACTCCACCTCTACCAAAAAATAAAAAAATTAGCTGGGAGTGGTGGCATATGCCTGTAATCCTAGCTACTTGGGAGGCTGATGCAGGAGAATCGCTTGAACTCAGGAGGTGGAGGTTGCAGTGAGCCAAGATTATGCCACTGCACTCCAGCCTGGGTGACAGAGTAAGATTCTGACTCAAATAGAAAAGAAAAAAAAAATCCACAGCAGAAAAAGCCACTGGTCATTGTTTAGAATATGGCGATATCTATCATAATTTAATTTTGAAAATTCTTTTTTCTAAAGTAGCACACCTCGCATATACTTCTTTTTTAAAATAAACTCAATTAAAATTGATTTCATTTTGGAATTCTGTGATATCACCCGAAGATATCCCAAGGCAGAGCAGAAGCTGTGCCAATTCCTGGCTCTGCACTAGGAACACAGAGGTAAGATTCAGGCCTGCTCTTGGGCAGCTCCTACTCTGCCTAGTGGTGTAAAAGTACACATAAAGAATTATCGTGTGGCATAATAACGAATGAATAGGGCCAGGCGGTGGCTCACGCCTGTAATCCCAACACGCTGGGAGGCTGAGGAGAGCGGATCACCTGAGGTAAGGAGTTCAAGGGCAGCCTGGCCAACGTGGTAAAACCCTGTCTCTACTAAAAATACAAAAATTAGCTGGGTGTGGTGGCAGGCGCCCGCAATCCCAGCTATTCAGGAGGCTGAGGCAAGAGAATT